GTTTAAAGAATGTGACATGGATGTGAAGTCAGCGTCAGAAGGAAAAATGTGAATGTGGAAGGAATGTCCTAGAAGTCCGAAAAAAGTACCAAAACCCAGAACTTGGGCAACAAAATTCGGCCTCCCATGTTCCATGTTTCTAGCAGAGTGACAGACCTTATGAGAGGAAAGTCATGCCAGGGGCCCTTACTTCACACTCCCGCGAAGTTCCTGTAACACGCAGATTGTGACACTCAACATACAACCAAATTCCCTTGGCACCAACCCCTCCTCTGACGTGTGAAGAAGAAGAAGAAGAAGAAGAAGAAGATAATGTGCAGTGGGTCGTGCCATCTCCAGTTTCGAGTGACGAGAGATGTTCCCTCCACCCAGGGCTCGATATATGTTAGTTATGTGAACAGCTGCTTGTATAAGCCTTCACATTCGAAACCGCGTCTTTCGGACTCTCAGCGCTATGGCTTAAACGCGAATAGGTTGTCTGCTTGTTGCCATCTTCTGCCGGAAGTATAGACTTAACCGGGAAAGGGAAGATGGATGCATTCCTTGACAGTTATATATCCAGAGGACGCTCCAACTGATCGTATTAAAGCAGGGGCAAATATTGCCGATTTATTCATTAGTGGAGTGGACTTCAACAAGAAGGCGACAGGAAATCGTTTACTGCCCCTTCTCAGACAAACATACAACAAAAATCAAAGGCTCACAGCAAGTCGTTTCATAACATTTTTATAGCGTGTAGAGTCCTTACCATGCAACGACTATGAGATAATCAAATATACCAGAGCCATTTCTAGGCAACGGCTCGGTAAACACGTTCCCGCTGCAATGAACACATATGTAATGATAGAGGCAGGGGTCCGGGTTCGATTCCCAGCGCTACCAGATTTTTTCTGAGAAGTAGTGGGTCCGGAACGGGGTCCACTCAGCCTCGTGATGATAACTGAGGAGCTGTTTCAAGGAAATAGCGGCTCTGGTCTAGAAAACCCTTAATTAACGGCCGTGGGGATTCGTTGCGCTGACCACGCGATACCCTCTATCCGCAAAAGTTGGCACTAACTTCGCCGACAAGCGGCGGTCGCTCTCTCGGTCGGTATATTTCGCTTGTGGACTGAAATCACGGAGTTTGTTTTTATTAAATAAAATATTTTTAGTTTTCGTTCGTGAAATTAGCACGCGAGCCACATTGGGAAGTTCTGCGGGACACGGATTGCAAACCACTCAGTTATATACCCTTTTAAAACGTTTAGAATAAGGATCAGACTCTATGAAGATAAGTACCCTGCTTGTGAATAAGAAACCCAATGATTCTACTACGTCCGTTACATTTGGCATAAAACCAGATTTATAGAAGCAATGGGGGGTACGAAAGGAATTTCCGAAGCGTTTATACAACATTTTCCAGTTCATAAACAGTGGCAGAAAGACTGACGGCATAGCCACCGGGATGTGGGTATTCTTTCATTTGTGTTTCGTTCTCTTTATTAGTGTGCACAACGGCGAGATAAACTTCGTGTCGAAGGAAAATAAATTTGTTTATGCGATTTTGATGGACGTTCCTTGAAGATAAAATATTACGTCATTGGAACGGTTATACACGACATAGCAACGGTATAAATAAAGAAACTTACAGGAGAAAATGAGTTCATGGAATTTTGATGTAGGCTTACATTTCGTCAAGATTTAAATCGCGATGAAAATTGTAGTAGGGAAATATTGGTATTAGTACATATTTATGTGTGTTTTTCAAAACTAGAAATGTTTGAAAGAGCTGATAACTTAGTAATGGCCTCAACTTCCGTCAGAAGTGTTGGGAATCTTCCTTGTCGCCACCACAGTCAGAGAGGCTCACGGATCCATGAAGCAAACTATCTAATGTGAGTGTCGGTATCATGTCTGGTCACAGAAAGATAGAACTAGGGGAAGGTTTCATTTATTTCGCTTATATATATTTGAAGAATTATAAAAGTAACAAGGTAAGAGAGTAAAGTTTTCCCAGTGTTCAATTCATTAAGCATAACCCCATGAATATGTTTTTAACCTCCACGTTACATGTAGGTGAGTGGTCAGCTTTATCCTTTGGGGGAGAGATCCCGGTATCCATTGAATAGGGTGCTGGATAGGTCCCGGAGCTGGTCTGGATGCCGTGGAGAAGAGAAAAATCTCCTGCGCTACTGGGAATGGAACCCCAGTTTCTCGGCTGTCCACCTTATACCCGGTCGCTATACCCTCTGAGCTATCTAGTCTTCATATCATAAAAGTGACACAAGAATTAAAAAATACGTTTATATTTTCATGTACAATGGGTTGTGACTACAGACAGGGTTTTAGATTGGATATTGGATTTATTCACTACTTATTCACACAACTTGGTACTGCAAGTAATTACAGAACCATTGCTGATTTCCACACGTCACAAGGCTTTTCCAGCCTCCAGTGTCCTGACTAGTAGTCGCCTGGTAATGGCTTCTAACAACGGCTAGAATTCTCTGCTCCTGGGCTCAAGTCCTCTCTGAACAGCACATCCCTTCCAACTGCCATTTTTCTTCACAGGTTCCTATACAGGACTGACTTGGTAGGCCCAATTTGCCTTCCATATAACTCCTTGGCACATACTACTGTAGAAAACCCCATCTCCAGGGATACTTCTATTGTTGCATATGCATCTCTTGCCGCGGGAATGCGTTTCCCAAGCAGTTGCCTAGAAACAAATGTTGTTTCAGAGCCGTTCGCTAATAACGGCTGTTTCTGTGACTCTGCAGTTCTTGTTTAGAGCAAATATTTGTTTGCATGAAGAGAACACTGGTGTGATGACTGCCCATCATCTTCTGAACCCTTTGTGCCTTATAGTATCTCAGCACTGAAGATTGCCTTCTGTATTGAGCCTATGTCTATGTTTACTGTTTATTTAAAGCAAACTTCAGGAATTCAATTCACATTTATATGTAGCTGGGGTGGAAAGAGTGCGTCCAAAACAATGTTTGAAGATCTTGGCTATCCCACAATCGTGCAACCCAAAACTGAGGTATTGATAGGATATAAAAATCACCTGTTATGACTGTGTTATTTATTTTGGTAAATCCATCTTGTGCAACTGGTATCTACTTCATGTTAAGTGGGACCCTTCTCACCACTGTGCGTCTTAAAGGTTGCAAAAAGAAGATACGGCGTCCTATGTTGGGAATAGATGCGGATATATTGAATAAGCAGTCAGAGATGTCAGACAAGGGGTGGTCACCCAGCTTGGGGGTTGAGTGAGGGGGGGAACAACTTTTCACTGTATAAAAATAGTATTTTATGAAATGTTACACAGGGACTCGGGCTTGAACAAATTCTTTGGAATGATGGTGGTGGTGGTTGTGGTGGAGAGCTCCAGTTATACTGAATAAAGAGTCTGGACAGCCGATAAGGGGTGAACCTCCAGCTAGGGTTTGGGCATGGGCCTAACAAATCCTTTCTGCAAAAAAAAAAGTCCAGTTCATTGTGAAATGGTATGCAGGGTATCGGACTTGATGAATTGTTTAGAATAACACAAGCAAAAGAAAATAGACATGAGATTTAGCACATGGAATATAAGGATCCTCTGTACTATGGGCTCACTGACAACAGTTGCAAGAGAAACTGCAAAGTATAAATCAGATTAAATGTGGGTCTGTGAGGTCACATGAGATAGGGATGGCACTGAACTAGCAGGAGACTATACATTTTCCTATGGAAAGGGAATGAGAATCATGAATTAGGAACAGGTTTTATGTACATAAGGGAATCATATCAGCAGTTAAGGGTAGAATTTGTTAGTGACAGGATGTCATACATATAATTTCATACATAATTTCTTACAAGGTTAAAGGCTGTGGTTTTGCAGCTAGTACCTAATGATGGATTATACCGTGCATTCCAATGGCATTTGCCTAACCATTTTATCAACATATAAAAGACAGTCCTGCAGCGCTGTAAATTTCACACAAGTTTTTCCAGTCAGTTCCATGTTCCTACAAAGAAAGAACTCTGAATATTGTCTAAAAATGTTTTTGCAGTTGTCATAGTTTTCAAACCTTTCCATACAATACTCAGTTTCGTTCTTATCATCATAGACATACGTGGCACAAAACGAGAAGCTTAGGTTCCTGACGTTTCTTGACTGATCCAGTTGTATGCCGAGCAAATTCCTTGAATAACTTCTGATTTTCATTGACTAATTGAGGTCAGGTGTCCTGTCATATCCTTGTTCCTTTTGCTGTTAGTCCTATTTGATAATGAAAATGGCAATAGAATTTTCAAGGGATCAGTTTCTAGCAGAGGCAAACAGTGCACAGTGAAGTATGTATTCTTCTGTTATCACATGCAGTTTCTTGGCCTTTGTAATTTTATGTTCAGTATGGAGCTTCACCAACAGCATTATTATTATGTCCGTAGGATCTAGAACTATCAAGTTTTTGAAGAATTCCTTCATTCTTTTAAAATGATGATCATTTTGACTGGCTGTGGATTCATGTTGTCTTCAGGTGTCATTAATTTATTTGCCTTCCACGACTCATTTTCCATCACTTCACAAGGTATCTTCTTTCTTTTCCACCAAATTCTACCAATGTAAAACTATATTTTATAAAGCCCTCAAGGTTTAATTTTTTTTCCTTCTTATGTTCTTCAAAAGTTCTTGCCATGCTCAGGAGGCAGCACAAAGAGTGAGCATTGCTGTAAAACACACCGTTAATAGAGCAGCACTGTACTTGTCAGTAACAATGATGATATTTAAACAGACTGGTGAAATTAGTGAGAAGTCTTGATAAAACACCATAATTTTATATCATTCTTACAGTAAGAGCTGAGTGTTTTTCTTTGAAGTCAGTTGTTTTAGGAATTTCTTTATTCCATTCATCAATATGTCGCTATTCCTCAAAATTGTACTCCCCCTTCCCACAAAGTTTCCACAGTGTCATGTTTGGTTCATGCTCATAGGTTGACCAACACTGACCTAAAGTAAATGCTGTTCTTTGTTACAGATGGCAGAAATGATCTCACAGAGAAACTCGTTGTGGGTGAAAAGTTACGACTGCGTTGTAACTCTGAGGCAAATATCACCTGGCACAAGGATGGCACCATCTTACGATCCAGACCACCCCTCCTCAAGATCACCAGGCAGGCGTAAGTTGGAATTAGTTGTTTTAACACTACATGCAGCTAGATCATGAGGTATGAACTTCCTTGGTTCTCTGCTTGTTATATACACTCCTATGACTTTTCTCCCCCCATGTTCCCACATATGTACAGGTCCTTGAAATATCCACATTGAGTCTCATATTGGTTTGCTTTCGTTCTCTAATAGAGCCAATGGGGACTAAACGGTTGATTTCCAGTGTTCCTTCTGCTTCTGTGTAATTCCATGTTTTTGCAAGCCATTTGCTTTGCTTGTTGCCTGGTTTATGCCAGTTTCTTGCCTGGCTTACTCATCAACCCAGCAAGACAGAGACAACATATTCCTCTGGAACATCAGTTGACTGTCAATGGATTACACAGTGCCATGTCCAAGGAGACAGAACTCTTCATAACCAATACTGTGAGAACTTCACATCTGACATGAATTTCCATGTAGTATTCAGATCATCTTCAGGCTTCAAAGAGTTAATAATTCAGGTGTTTAGATCTGGACTTTTTGCTATGACCCTCATGTCCAATCCTGGTTGATTTCACATGGGCATTTTTCATGAGCTGTTTTGCTCAAAGTTTATTTATTTTTCTCTTGCTAGTTATCTGTCCATAATTGCTTCATACTTATATATCACAACTCAACAAGATGTACAATAGCTCTGGCCAGGCACCAAACTCTCACATCCTCAGTTTTTAAGCTGGGGAGGGGGGGGGCCCCCTTCGTCTCTGAGCTGGCACTTAGCTGATCCCAGAATTGGAGAGAGAAATTAATATTGACTGTGTATTATTTTTATTATCATTGCTTTGCTTCTTAGACATAACAGCATTGTTAGTTGCATTGGCTTCTCATGTAATCAGTCTAATATATTCTAAAATTTTGTAAACAGTTTTAGTTTCTAGTGAAGTGATTGTTGGATGATGCTCATTCTGTAAGTATACAAGTGGACACATGCTTAGGAACAAATAAACGGAAAACTGCTTTGAACTTGTATAACAACATGAAAAGTAAAAACCTGAAGAAATTATAAGTTTGAATGCAGGAAAAGTTACTGAAGCAAGAGATATTTCAAGAGCTTTAGTTTTTCTAGACTGTATAATGTCTACAATAAATTTTACAGGTACTTTACATATTTCAGTTTCTTCATGGAAGGCAAAATGATTTGCTTTAGGTTGATATGATTTGTGAAATTTTAGTTTCTCTTGTGAGGATGAAGATTGCTGTCTTCTGGGATGTGACATGTGCAGTATGGTCGATTGATACCAGCATTTCAGAGGAACTTTGATTTGTCTTATCTTTAGTGTACCCTGAAAAGGTTCCAAAATACAGGTGTGTATCTAATGAACTAAATGGCACCACACCTTAGAAGACGGTAATCTTAAAATAGTAATGTCTGCACTCAGGCCTTGCATTTGATTTGTGGCCTGCAGTAAACATCAGTGGCTTGCATTGTCCTGCTGAATGCTTTGTCACTGTTGCTATAACAGCTGTAGTTTTCTAAAAGTTCTCTATATGCATCCTGTTGTAGGTATAGTAAGTACGAAATATTATGGAATATGCTGACAGTTACGTGTTTAGAACTGTTATATTTAAACAGTCAAGTTTATACTTAAGACAGTCACCTGCTGCTATGAGCCACATTGTTTAATGTAGCAAGTAATTTCATTGTTATCAATTTATTACTTGCTCTTATATTCTTGATGCATTCTCATAAAAGTAGCATATTGCAATGCTTGATTTTGCAAGAGTCAGTCCTTGAAAATGGATGAAGGGCTTAATCTTGATTATTGTTTTCCAGAATGAAGTTCAAGGCAGTAAAACATACTGATGCTGGCAGATATGGCTGCTGCATCCAGCTGGAGAATGGCACTGAACAGTGTCATAATATCACACTAATGGTATATAATACAATTGCACACGCTGACTTTCTCCAAGATGTGGCAGCAGCACATGTTCAGGGAATGATTGAGCAGCGGGAAGATCTGCCCACAGGTGGAGACAGCTACAATTACGAGATTGATCCTGTGAGGCAACTGAATGATGCAGACGTAATGCTCAGAGGTGGGAAATTTGAGATTTTTGGCACTGTGCACAGGCTTCAGGTTCACAGTGGAACTCAAAATTTAAAGATGTTCATCATTTCTACTTTCCAGAAACAAGATTTAGATATCTGAACATCTCAATCAGCTCTTAGACTTAACTGGGTTTTTGGACATGACCATTGTTCTGTATTCTACAAGACACTAGAGAATACAATTTTAGATTACATGACGATGGTCAGAGTCCAGAAAGCCAGTAATTCTGAGAGTTATACACAACCATCATAAACCTTTAGAGTCTCAGTCAGCTGTTTTGTCCTGCTGTTATATATGGTCACCTACTGCAAGGGAAGAATGTAAATTATAACTGCTTGAAAATAATAAGATGCTAGGGTAAAGCTTTCAAAATGCAGGGGAAAAATAACTGGGGAATAGAAGATATTATATGTATAAGAAGTCGCCTAGTATTGTTAAGGTGATGAAGTCAAGAGGTGTACAATAGCTTGCATGGGGGAGACAAGAAATTTGTATCGAATTTTGGTGGGGAAATATATCTTGGAGATCAGTCCATGGATCAGTATATGGAAGACTGGGAAGAGGATGGGATACATTTACTTTAAAAATGGAGGTTCCACTGAGTAAATAATAAAGCATCTGACACATACCCACACCCCACCATATTTTTCTTTATCCTGGGCCTCACACTGAATACTCTCCTAGGGCCTCAGTGTCCTTGGATACATAATAAAATAATTCACATGGAGTACGAACATGGTACGCTCTCTTTATATTCTTATTCTGGCTGGAATTAACTGTAGTAGTGTGGTAATACTGAGTCTCTTGGTACTACAGCCTCACATAGGCCTGTTGTACCATATTCTGGTGAAGATGAGTATGGAGCGTTTGTGGAATGATGAATGGCAAGGAAAACTGAAGTATTCAGAGAAAAACCTGGACCTTTTCTGCCATAGATCTTACATGGGATTGAATTCAGACCTCCCTGATGTGTATTACACCTAAAGTTAATCAAAATGTCAGTTTAGTTCCCATCTATCTGATATCCATTCTCAAATTAAAATCTGAAGGCCTTACACACAGTGAGAAAAGGGTTCCTTCATTGTGAAACGACATTTTTCCTTTCGTGTAAGAAACCCAACAATCTTTGCAGTATGCTTTTATTGTTCTTGTGCTATGAAGGCATGGACGCTTGGCACTAAGTGGAAGTTCCACGTTCATGTGTCAGAAGAGAGGACACATCTGGTATTGGAGGCTGGGTGATCCTCAGAACTGATATGAACATGTGTAAAAGGAAATATTTTAGATTAATGCTATTTATTTGAACTTTTGGGTCTCTACAGCCTGTTATAGTGATAGCTTTACATTTTATACATTGCCTTATTTTTTGTATATAAAAGCACACCATTTCAGAAATGGGTCTGCTGTCATCTTCAGATAGAGATGATATGAAAAAAATTGTGCTCTGTTAGAGTTACTGTCACAAGCTGGTAGAGTAGCTCTTCCCAGAGGTCTGAGAAAGTAGAAAGCTTTACATACCCTGCTCCACCTGAAGACGAAAACGTTACCTGTTTCTGAAAGGTTATGCTGTTTCTTTTAAAAAGTAAACTGATAAACAGGAGCATGGCCATAGCTCAGGTGGTTAGCCACCAAATTCTCACTACATTTCAATCCCAGTTCAGTTGGTGTGGCTTTTATCGTGGATAAATTGGCACTTGGGCTTTCTCCAAGTACTTCAGTTTCCTCTTCCAATTCTCGGACCAGTGCTCCATTTCTCTTGGCTTTTATTTGGAGCTGGCACAATAGGCCATTAAAGACATAAGTATCAAGGGACTCAGTCTCACCCCCACCCTAATAATAATAAAGAGAAGATGATGAATGAAGTCAAACTAGATAGCATTGAAAGGCATATCTCATCATCATTAACCATGAACAGGTTGGTCTTGCAGTAATACTTTAGACTTGTATTCAAAATGTGTTCAGTCCTAATGAACCAGCTGTCCTGACTGAGGTTTTTAATGGTTTTCCTTGGTCCTTCCAGGCAAATGCCAGGATAGTACCTTGATTAAGCCACATCTACTTCCTTTCAAATTCTTTCCAGTTCATTGGTCTTCCCATCATTTGATGTTATATAGTTCATATACTGACAGTCTTGTAAAATGAATCACAGTAATTAAATAACTTTAAACTTATAGGTATTATGCTCTTGTAGTGACAGAGAAGAAGAAAGGTAAAGCTGTCTCTGTAACAGGCCATGAAGCCCCGTAAGGTTGTGAGATGTCGAGGCTCCTACATTTTCTCTAGACTCTCAGCTCACAGATGGCGGTAAGGTTGTCAGCCTTACACGCCAGCCTCCCTTTACCCCCCAGGAAGATTCTTGGTACTCATTTCTGTGAGAGGCAGAGTCGACCCCAGGGCCATAGTGCAGCTGGAATGATTATGTAAATTGAAAAGAAAAATCCACCTCATCATGACTCAAACCCGCAACCTTCCAGCTTGTAGCATAGTGCCTCAACCATACCCATACCCCAGTGACATATATATGTTTACATTTTCCTCAAAAATTTACTTTTGCTTGTAGCAAACCTGACGTCCATGTCCCTTGTACATGAGCTTGAAGAAGCCCCAGACAGTGAGAATACCCATGTAGCAGGAGTATACAATGAGACATTGCCTCAAATGGCACCCCACTTTGTGAAACCAAACATCATGAAACATGAGGTGAAGAAATATGCTGGAAGTACAGTGGTTCTCAGCTGTCCTGCCAAAGGTAAGTACATACATTAGTCTGCTTGTGAAACAGACATTTGTTTGCTTTGAAATGGTAATAGTTTACAATGTGACTGTTTCCACAGGAAACCCAGAACCAAACATTACTTGGACCAAGGACAGAAATATCCTGAGTAACCACCATTATGGTCAGTGGTCTCTTAGAATTGAAGACACTGTTTTATATGACTCTGGAAATTATTCATGCTTTATCTGCAACGTCATTGGCTGCATTAACTTCACGTTTGAAGTGGACATTATTGGTATGTTCTCATGTGTGTATATGTAGGAGATAAGCCTTATACTTTCTGCTAAACCTGCCATGATCTGTTATTTATAGAGCACATTTTCTATTTTAAGTAAGTCACACACACACACACATACACGTGTACACGTGTGTGCGTATGGACATGCACAAGCATGCACACACATAGGTGTGAAGAGATGCACAGTTTTTTATGTTTGTCACTTTTTCCTGTTTTATTGGGCATAAAGATCTCTCACTTTGCTCTTATACTATTACTTCTATGAACTGACCTGTAGCACTAAGTTTGGCACTATGATGCCAGCTTGCACTTTGCTCTTATACTATTACTTCTATGAACTGACCTGTAGCACTAAGTTTGGCACTATGATGCCAGCTTGTTCTCTTATTGTACAAAGTTTGTTTATTATCAGGCTTTCTGCCTGTATGAACATCGGGTACATAAAAGACGTTTAAAGTTTGGACTTATAATTCTGGGCCTTTGCTAATACCGGCATGATATCCTTGCAAACTTGTGGCAGTGACACTAATATATCTTTACATAGGGTCATGGAATTTTCTGTGCTGATACAAAGTCTGAAACATAAGGTGATATTTTTGTGAACTGTAAACCTACATGATGATCACATTAAATCTGTATTTAATTTTCTGTGTGCTGGCAATAAGTAACACTTCATTTTAGCTAGTCATAATGACATCTCTTAAACATACCCGTGATTTGTATGTGAAACATTCTTATGTTACAGTTATAAACATGACGATTTTTTTAATTTTTGAGCTTAGTGGAAGTCTATACTAATGGAAATGGTGCACAAAACTTAATAATTAAATTGTGAGGTAAAATAGGCGAAGTTGTCATTGTGCTTAACTAATTAAGTGCTATGCCATGAAGACATATGGGAGTAGTGGATGTACAGACCCACGTTTCCTTGACCCCGGCACTAGTTGGAGGTGAGTGGTCAGCTTCACGCCCCGGCCGCTTTACCCTTGGGTAAAGATCCCCAAGTACCCATTCGATAGGAAGCTGGGTGGGCCTCAGAGCCAGTCTTGAGGACATGGAGAAATGAAAATTCTTGCGCCCACCAGGACTCGAACTCTGACCCCTTGGTCGTCCACCCCGTAGTCAGTTGCTATACTGACGGTGCTATCCCTTATATAATTAATAGTTCCTACTAGCCTCAACATACTGAAAGAAAATATGTCTTCCCAGACATTATGTTTCATCATCAAATTTTAATCAAGAAGTTAGTAGATGTTAATGAGATAAAATCAAGATAATATATTTGCTGTTCTGTCTGTATGCTGTCTTAAGTAACATACTAATTATAGAGTTTTTCATTAAACAGTGTTACCCATGGAAAGTTGACAGCTTCAAGATCAACTTTTCCATTCTGTCAAATGTTTTCTTAGCTAGTGACCTGTATCACCAGAAGATTTTTACTGAAATGAAGCAAAAACATCTTACTACAGTACATATCAGAACTGATTAGACCTAGTTGGTTGGCTTAGCAGTAACTCTCTAGACTTATCTGAGAGGTGTTGAGCTTGAATCGTAGCCAGGATATCAGCTCTGTGACCTAGATTATGTAAAATTAAAATCTACAGCAATGTCTTCCAATTATTTTTCTAGACCATCATCTCCAAAAACCAAATCTAACAGAAATTCCACAAAACTCAACTGTCATGGTGGGCCACAGCGTTTCATTTCATTGTGAAGGTATATCTGGACCATCAGATGTTACATGGTTTCAGGGGTATTTCACCTCCCACGTTGATGCAAAGGTATGTTAACCATCTCAATTTATGTATTGGATGTGAACTGTATTATTTATATATACACATGAATTATGTCCAGTAAAAAGAAATAATGAATTTGTTCAGTTGTAGGATTGGTGTGCCCTTGCACACATGCCCTAAGCCTTCCTTGATATAACACTGGGTGTTATTTTACTGAATTTTTGTTTATATATATATATATATGACCAGATCAACTTAGATCAGTCAGAACGGAAGTTGGTAGTAAGTCGACGACCACGTGTGTGTGTGTGTATATATATATAT